TTAATTGATATAAATATATTTTTCTTTATTTATTTATTATTTTAAATTAATTTTTATATTAAATTTAATTAATATATTAATTTTATCATAAATAAAAAATTTAAAATTTAACTATAATACTCAATATAATAAAGAATAACAATAATAATCATAATAAACAAAAAATCAATAAGTTATTTAGATTATATATATAAAATTTAAGTAAAGAGAAATAGAAAAACAATACTTTATTGTAATCTATACTCACTCTGTATAAAGACAAACCGTATCACAAGTCGTCAATCTTGGGTAGAAAGCCTTTGCATCCAATGGTGACACTCTATAGCGTGTGCTGGAAGCTCACTCTTTAACATGAGATATGGATTCAACGCCTTGCATCGCTTACACATTAGGCCAAACTCAAGGGTATCGTCTGGGAGTAAATATGGAAAGCGTATTGATGCCATACCGCAGAATTCATTCCGTATTTCGCCTTCCCAATCTGGTATGGGCTCTCCATTCAGGTCAAAGCCGTCCTCCTCAGGTAGCAAGGGCGGCGAGGGCAGCCATTGTGAGAAGCCATTAGCCGGCCGACTAGACTCGTTCCATACGGGCCTGTTTATCATGGGCCCTTGTTCGCTCAGAATCCCATAGATGTCGCTGGGCCACTCTTCCAACGTAACCGGCCTACCTTCAATGGATTCCTTCTGGCCGTGTTCATCCAACTCATTATCTGGGCCGTGATAGACCCCGCCACACATAACAAATACAGGATGTAAGTCAGGCATCGTGCCATTATTCTCGGCAAGTCGTGCCGCGCCTTTGACAGGGACGAGCATCGGCCGTTGGTATTCTTTGACCTCCTGGTGTTTGTAGGTACCGGGAATACCTTTCATCATAGGAAGCTTGTTAAGATCACGCATCGTGAGTCCGTAGATTCCCTGAGCTGTTGAAAGAGGGACTACCCAGAAGGATTGGTTCTCGGCCACACAAATATGACAGCATCGCTCTCCGGTTGGGAGGAATAAAAAGGTACCAAACTCTCCACACGAGACGCAAGCTTTAGACCGCAAGACAGCGTATAGTCTATCTGCCGAATAATAGCGAAGTAGATTAGATTTTCTAAGGACCATCAGGATATCTGGTATATATTTTATAAGATCACGGTATGGTGGTAGTAGTGACTCTATAACTCTGCCTTGTCGAGAAGTACGCGAAAGACAAAATAGAGCCCAAAGATCTAATAGACGCAAGACTTGATATAAAATCTCGGGAGGTAGCCGGTCCAGAAGGCCTAGGGATGATGGATCAGGACGGTGCTTCAGAGTTGATAGTTGTGCTGGTTTAATGTTATCGATTGTGATTTGCTCGTCTGCTGGAAAGTCGAGGGGGCCAAATACGTCTTCATCGTATGGTGTCGTGGACATGGCTGTATCGCGGGTCTATGTCAATGATGGAACATGGAAGCTCTAAGATACGGATGAGCCAAAAGAGGTTGATTCTTTTTAAATGATGAGCAAAAACGTGGAGAGATTTTCGTTGGAGAAGTAGTTAGGAATAACATCCTTTGTTATTTACATGGTATTCTGGCTTTGGTGACGTAACTAGTGCCTATCATTTAAATACGCCGGACTTGAAACATGTAATATTAGATTAGATTAGATTATAAAGTCCCTAGTTACCTATTACTAGTACTCCGTAGCTGTCTCGTCTATTCATATCTCTATCCATAATCTTTCCATCGAAGAGCCCTATTTAACCAGGCTTTTCGTAAACGGTAGTGTTGCTGATGGCCTCTGCCGGTAGCCATTGACCGGCAATAGTGTTCTTGTACGACAGTTGGGCGAGTGTGAATGTATGGAGTTCGGACACCAAGACCGTAGCATTCATGGGCAGGATGCGGTGTGCCATAGCATTTTGAGTGAGGATAGAGACGTACTCTTCGCCGGAAATAGAGGTGATATCGGAGTCGAAAGTCACGCGGATCAGGGCATCGGGCGAGTTATTGCTGAGCAGCGAGGTCGACAGGAGCCACACGGCTGGACCACCAGCTTCGCTCGATGCGTCAGCGATATGCAGGAGACCAGCATTGGTGCCCAGCATCGGGTGCTTGAGCTTAAAGAACTCCATCTTGCCAGAGGGTCCGATACGACCAAACGTGCCGGTACCACCAGTAGCATTACCAGCGAGAGTGAACCATACACCCTCCATGGGACCGTAGCCAGAGATCATTCCGACGGCGTTGTTGCCAACACTGGGCGGAATTGGAAGTTGCGCCGTCTCGCCGGTAGTGAGATTGATCCGCATTATAGACGAGTCGGTATCTTGCGTGACGTAGATCAAGCCGGTGGTCGGCTCCTCCTTGATAAACACGGGGCTGTTGAGGCATGGGTACAGCTTCTGGTCCGTCGAGTTGGTGACATCCGCCGAGAACACATAGTACCCGCCAGTTTGCTTGGAGGCCACCTTGAGCCCGGCCCAGACGCGGTTGCCGATCTCAAACACACAATGTGGCCCATTTCCTGGTGCCGGGATATCAATTGTTTTTATTATGGTCGGCGGAGTCGCGAGATCCTTGCCGGGATCCACGAGGAGCAGCTTGTTGTCGGCCTGCAGCGTCAGCCACATCATGCCGGGGTACACGGTCGAGGGCCACACGCCATGTAACTCGGAATGGTTGTCCTTGCCCATGGGAAAGGCATGATACGCAATGGGCTCTTCGGTGGTAGGATCCAGCTCGATCTTGATGAGCTGGCTGTCAGATAACTGGGACAGCAGCAGGAAATTTGTATTCGGCACGCGCGCAAACTCGTGTGTGGCAGAGGCAGCCGGCAGCAAATACTCAGTGAGGCGGCGGCTCACGAGCGAGTTGGACGAAGCCTGCGCTGATGCCCTGTGAGCGACGAGCGCCAGCGCGACGGCGACCAGTTTAAAAAACATGGTTGAATGTTGAAATTCCCTCCGTGATGTTTTTTGACATGGTGGTTTTTGTATACCTATGGGCGAAGTGCCCCTATTTAACAGCCACTGTCCGCCAATTCAACCTGTGCAATCGGGGTATCCGCAGCCGAGCAACAATCCCGTTCCGTCGACTTTTTGGGCTTCAGCTGAGCCCGAGCGGAAGCGCGAGCTCCCCAGAGACCCAAGATGATCGATTCGGTTTCCTGATACGTCCAACACACTCCATCCACGATCTCCACTGGCCAATGGTTTACTACCACATCTCGCGCTATTGATTTAGATAGGGACCGCATACGAACAAGAAAATTACGGAGAAGAGCCCTGGGAATCGTCCACGAAGGCCGTCGACTTCGACGTGCCAGTGTTCTTCGGAATGAGGCCTCGCGACGACGACATGCTTTCCGGCGAATTTTTACATTGCATGTCTTTGAGCAGTGGTGCATAACGTAATACTGCCTCATCCGCTGTGAGGTTGGGTCCCAATGTCCATCTGCGGGGGACGTTAAGAGCACCACGGGGACATTGCTGGGAAGTGATGCCTTCATTCGCCGCACGCCTGTTTCCCGACTCAATTGCTGGATTGCTGGACTTTGACAACTTATTTTGACCGCCATATTCATCATCTAGGGGCCTCTTCTGTCCCCGTTGAGCCACCCCCTGTGTCTGCCTGCTGCGGACTGCTGGGGAAGTCTCTTCATCATCAAGAAAGTACAAATCCGGAAGCAATTCAAGTTGTGAGCGAGTTTCTGCATCTAGAGATTGTACTCGAGCACCTCCCAGCACCAGTATTCCGCGTCAGAGTGTTGCTACCGGCGCGCCGTGCCATTGTTTCGGAGCTGAGAGGGTATCTAACATATGAGAGGTAAGAAGGCCGCCAAGTAGGTAACCAGTTCTTTTAGAAAAATCGGTCGGTACAATCCTCCGTCCGCATCGGTAGGGACCTTTCTGTAGAGCACCGTATAAGCTGGAGACCAATCAATGGTGGATAATACCCTATCTCGAGACGCTTTCGCCCCAGGCGCAGAGAGGGTGTATATACCCCGTAAGAGGCGGCCACAATGGGCTCTTGGAGGTTTGCTTCCGAGTTCATCTCGTTTATATAGCTGTACTGCTGTAGGCTGGTTTGCTGCGCCGATATCAAGGGTGTCCAGCTGAGATCGTTGTAAGGCTGATGAATCTTGTACTCTTCAGCTGGAGGGACTTTTCGATGAACATCTTTCCCATTTTTCATTGCAAGCTTCTGCTCTTGACGCCCATCAAGTTCAACATCAATAAAGTACTGCAGGTTCGCGGGTAAGAAAAGAAATCCGGGATCAGCTGTCCGGTCAAACTCGGCGTGGCAGGTAGGGCAAGTTGTTGTTTTTTTGGACCTCCCTTGAAGAAAGTCAAGCTATGCAGGCAGGCGCGCAGAAGTACTGTCATACGTTGTTTGGTTGACAGATTCTTCCACAACTCGCAGCTAAAGAGTCTCCTCAGTCAGGCATCACGCGAATCGGTGGAGATACTATTGGACCAACGAGCAAAAGAAATGCATGGGCAACAGAGGGTCATCTTCAGTCGTCGCAACGCGGTGGCAGCGGGTGGCTCCTGTATGACATCACACTGGCCAAGCAGCGAGTGCCTGGTATTAGGATTGATTATGTAATTAGCTGTTATTTCTGTATCTTTAGTCCTTGGCCTGGTTCTAGGAAGAACAATATTATCACCTTTATCATATCGATAGCTACTTTTAAAGCTCTGCCACCTCTTATTCTATATTAATTATAAGCCCAAGCCTCATAGTCCTTAGATACGCAAGGACTATCTAGGACTCTTTGAAATTTAATCTCCCGCAGAAGGACTGCACTTCCTCACCTTAGCCTGACTCTATTCTATAAGCCTGCTGTTCTAAACTAATCCAAACAACGCAAATAATAATTGGAATTCTATTCTAAAGAAGCTAGTAATATAAAAATATTTTAAAATTAAATTTAATAATAACTAAATTTATTCTTGAATTCTTTTATATATTTAATCATTTTTCCAGTGGTGTGTTAATCCCCCATCAATATCATTCTGCCTTCCAAGCCATAACTCAACTACATAAAGTGCCATTGTGCATGCTAAATTTACCCATCTCCACGTATTCCCGCTTCCCAAGGGTTGTATCTTCCACCACTCTAAATCCTCGTCTGCCATTCGCGACAACGATGTAAAGTGCTGTATAAGCAGGCTGGTGTATACCGCTATAAGGATTGATGGTGAAAACCAGCTGAGGAGCCCGAGAAACTTGCCTGCACCATCCGCGTCTTCCAGAGATGCTTCCTGAGACAGTGCGCGAGCACCCGACTCTCGTACAGCAGGGATTATCCGGGTTGATGCATAGAGGACGAAAAGACGGTAGATGAGCGAGATCAGCACAGATGGAGTTATCGCGCTGAAGGCTGCCGTTACTACACTAAAGAACGTATGGATAATCGAAGGCAGAGCCGAAATGGTATGCATCAGGGTGGTATAGGATGCCATAATGATAGGCGGTAATGGAGGAAACTCGAGTGATTGGGCTGTGGAGTTTGGCTTTTCCCTTGATTCGGAAGGCTTATAATCGGTAAAAATTTGGTATAGACAGAGCACGACGTATGCAAACAATAAAGAACTCTCAACAGGGTTGCCTCGGCCACTACCTATGCCCCACGCGCAAAGGAAGACGGCACAGGTGATAGACACTCCTATCAGAGTTGAGTCGACGTTGCTGATTCCAGGGAGCCCAAAGACACGCCAGAGAAAGTACAGCGAGCTGGATATGATTGATGCTGAAAAGACAAGTAATCCGATCTGAGAAGGTTGGGTGTTAGTCGGGACAATTGAAAGAGGGACCATATTCCGAAGGGGCAAGCACTACATACCATCCAGCTATCGCTCCTCCCACTCTTATTCACGAGATATCTAGTAATTTGTCCCGAAGCTTGAATAACAAGCAGGCTGCAGAAGCCTTCCGCTAATTGGAATACAGGCATAGACCAAACCAGCAGTTTGTCCCAGAAGCCAAGGATAGCAGCCTCCAGCAAGCCATCTTGTCCAAACACCCATTGCCGTACCGAGCTATTCCTTGCTCTAAGGGTTGTAAACGCCCGCTCCACCCAGCTTCCAGACCCGTTCGAATCGATGGAAAACCGATTAAGAGACCATATTAACAACGCGGGAACGATTAGCCATTGGGTGGAGCTAATGAGGAAGATGCAAGTTTTCCGGATGATCGACCTCGTTGGGGTAGTAAGTTTGAGGAGTGAGAGGAAGAAGTAAAACGCAGAGAGGGAGAGAGAGAAGGCCAGGCCGCAGGTTCTTCCTCCTACATCGAAAGCGAGTGGTATAGAGAGAACCACGGCAGAAAGAAAGAGGACGGACGAAAATACTCTAAAGATACACATGGACAGGCAGTATGTTGCGGAAAGCTTAGTGGTTCGAGGGAGGTGGCGTCCCGGATATCAAGTGGTTTGTTTAGAGGGCTGGATATTGACAGATAGGTAGTTCAATCGAAGCAAGGCGATCTAGTACACCAACTAGGTCGAATAACTAGCTTAATGTTACTCCAGCGTCGCGGGCCACGCTCGCTTCCAGTCGCTGCTGGCGAGAGTGATCAGGATTCCCGGTTCTTCTTGTCAATTCAAATCATCTTGCCCTGACATTCGTAGAGCGTAGGCGACGCGCGGAGGAAGTGAAAACGGAGGCAACAGGCTGTTAAGCTAGGTCGGTAAAAGGGATGAGACGTGCTGTTAGCTTTAGTTATCGGCGAAAGGCGCAGAGCAGACGGTAGAGGCAGCGAGGCAAGGAGAGAAGATTGGAAGCCCTGTCGTCCGGCCAGGCTGGTTGCTCTTGGTTGAGTCCGAGAAGTTGACAGCGCGTTGACCGCTTTTGCACTTGCCGAGAGGTTTGTGTGCGGGTTGTAGTTAAACTTAGGTAGTTGTTAGCTTTTTAGGTCAGATGTGGTTATTTTTGTGTGTTTATTCAAGTTAGTTATGCTTTAGTTATGTGGGTGGGTGCAAGACTCGAGAACCGCCTGGTTAACTAGTAAACTAGCGTTAGTTACATCCATTAACTAACTAGTTATATTGTAGCCTGATTGCCCAAGTGTTCACCAAGCACCGGCTCCGCCTGTGATCTGAGAGGCGGCATGACGGCGGTTGAACTATCTCTATTGCTTTCGGGCCTCACAGTGACTAGTCAACCAGTTAACTGACTAGTCTTGTCGGGGAGGCGAGACGCAGCGGCATGGACGGTAGTTAACTGATAACTAGTTAGTTAACTACTCCGTAGCTACTCAACTAACTAGTTAACTAGAGGGTTGGTGGTTCCAGGATCTTTTCATCCAAGTCCATTGCTAATAAAAAACTATTAATAACTCCAGCTGTAGAAGCAAATGAAGGGAATTTTCAAATCTGAACAAGACACTGGTAGTTGGTCGGCTTTCGAGGAAGAAAGAGAAAAGATACACAAAAGGAGCTGGCAATCTGTGTGAGTAATAACAGTTCAGTCATGCACAAATTAATCGTGAGTTAACTACCTAGTTAACTATGAGGCCGTTATAAAATAAATAAAATAAAAGTAAATAAACAAAAATAAGAATAAAATAATAAATAATAAACACATAGACAGGCACGCACACACACAGAGAGAGAGAAGAGAGAAGAGAGAGAGAGAGAAACAGAGAAACCGAGGATGCCAACTATAACACTGATCAAACATGTCCTCGTTCATATCAAGGGCATGCTAACGGAAAGGGCGAGGAAATGAAATAGAAATAGACATTTGGAAACAATGAGCTGACGAGAGGAGTATCATCCTGACCGCATTGGCTTCTTGCACGGCCAGGAATCAATGAAATAACATCAAAAGCCTGAAGAGGTACAAGGCTATCGTCGAATAGGGATTTCATGCGACAAGGGGTCCTCCGTCTCTTCTGTCTTACTCTCCGACATTGATAGTTTCGAGCCCTGGGATTCCCTAGTCTCCGGGCAGCCCTGCTTCCCTGCTGTATCATCGTTTGGTCCCTCCTCGTTATTGGCGTCTTCTATGCTGGTCTGTCGTTGTAGAAAACTTCCTTCCTTTATAGGGCTACGGGCCATGCCGGGGGGCATTCCATTATTTGCTCCGCCAGAGTGAGAGTGCGCGGCACCATGGCTTCCGTTAAAATGGTTTGGGGTAGCGGTGGACTGAGGCGGAGACGATGCCGTGAGGTGTGGAATGTTCTCTGGCACAGGGTGACGAGAGCCGATTGAAGTGACGTCCGAGGCCTTTCCCGCTTTGCTCAGGGCATAATCCCCGGAGTCAAAATATTTTCTTTCCTGTGTGAAGATCAGCAAGCCAGGAAATGGGAAAATTAAAAGACGTTAAGACGGGGAATAGAAGGGACAGTAAGGGGACACATCCAGAACGGCGTACCTTGAGCTTGTTCTGCAGGAGATCTTTCTTGTTAGGCATCTTGCCATACATCCGTAGGAGCCGCTGCTCGTCAGGGCTCAACGACTACAGGAGGAGTCCACATCAGTTAGCATAGCACCCACGGAACACAGGTCCTTCTACAGGTAGTTAGCTGTAGCAGCCAACGGTGGCTCACGTTGATATCTATCTTGTTCTGCTGGTGAGGGTTCATTGTGGGCGAGGAGGTCGGTCCCAGGGACTGCTGGCGTATTAGGCGCAGGAGAGGGGCGACGGGGCGTGGGAGAGGCGGCGGCGATGGTGGCCTTGTAGAGATTCAGATAACTGGCTAGCAGGGGCCTTCACTCAAGTACTGGTCGCAGTGGTGAGCAGCAGGAGGAGCAGAAGAGCAGCAGCAGTCTGGGGCTCTGGGGCTCTGGTCTCTGGGTGTTGTTGTTCTTGTTCTTCCTGACATCACCTGCTGCCGTGGCCGGTCAAAGAAGTTAGTTAGGTTAGACTTCCATCCCACCATGCGGGCCAGCAACGAAACGAACTTGGCGGCAGTTATCGATAACTAACGAGTTAGTTAATGAATCATGGGTGGACAAACTACTTAGTTACACTCACACTCACGGCCCTGGATAGCCGGCAGCTGGTCAAATTGTGATATCTGCTTAGAAGATTGGCTGCTGGAGATTTCTTCTTAAGAATTGACTGGATTGACACGTACGTGCACACACGCACTGTAACTAACTAACGAGTTGCCTGAATATTCATCATTGCAGCAGGAAGCTCTAAAAAGGCGCCTGTGGAAGACATGGCCGAGCTGATACCCCCTACCTTCGTCGTTGAGCACCTTGACCCAGAACTGGGGCCCTGGTCGGCGCTGGAATATAAGTGCATTGCCGAAGAGCTGAACAAAGCCGGGGCGAAGTTCATGCTCACTTCGGTCCCGGAGTCGCTGCGCCTGCCACAGAACCTGGTGTCGCAGAACAATTTAGCCGTCGAGCATCAGAGCGTGGAGGAACTTTTTGCGGACAAGAAGTCAGCTATCTGTCTGCTGGATCCCGCCGCCGTCGCCGAACTGTCGCCTGCTGATGGCACAACTTTCCAGGTGTTCCTGTTTGGCGGCATCCTTGGTATGTATTAAATTAAACCTGTATCCGATTGCACAGGCGTATTTGCTTGCTGACCAGAAGCCTTTCAACTTAGGGGATCATCCGCCACGAGGTATGTAAATGAACATGGCGACCCTGGCCTTGAAGGAATGCCAAATCACTGCTCCTCTGTCTCACCGGCCCGGGAACTTCAAAACCACTATTCCCCGAATGAGCACAGAGTTCTTTAGAATCGATCAATTATCAGGCCGTGCCAGGCTAACCAAATTACATGGAGACCGGACCTCTGAGTTGAGAAAAAAGGGTTATGCTACCCGCCGATTGGGACCCAAGCAAATGACTACTGACACCGCTGTGAGAGTGACACGGATCGTCACCCAGGACAAAGGTATGATAACCCAGCAGCTCTAGGAATACATCACCTCCCCTGCCCCTCTTCCAGCCAGCTGAAACAGAAAAAAATCCTGCCCGCAGTGCCGTTGAGCCAGATCCTGTGGCTTGACTTCCCCGAGATCCGCATTGACAAGCGCGAGTCTATCGAAATGCCCTTTCGCTATGTAAAAGGGCCCGATGGAGCGCCAATAATGCCAGATGTAAGAAGGCAGACGCTCTTCTCTCCCTCCCTGGCTTAACTCCTTAACTGACCCGGCGGGTCCAAACAATGTAGGGCATGGCAACTCTCATTAAGCAAGACGCAGACAAGGCGATAGGAGACCTGCTTTAACACGCCTTTACTACAGCTATGGAATGTACAGAGTAAAATTGGAACGATAGAGTATATAGGAACTGCCTACGCAGTCAGATCGCCATGCTGCTTTTGTCGTAGCTACTAAGATCGGATTCAGGGGAGACGGCGACATGGAAAGGGGCTGCTTATATAATCCTCCTCGGACATTGAAACGTCGTTTGACTTCCATCACTTGGACGTACGAAGCGTCTTGATGAACATCAGGCTGCGATTTCGTTCAGCCTGTCTATTCTGTCTGCTTCCTCTCAATACAGGTGCTGTACATCTACCGGGCCTCGATCATGCGTCTTTGGGGCTCTAAGACCTACCATACATAAGATGCGTTGCCAATCTCACCAGACGCTGGTCGGTAGCACGCGAGCATGCTGGGCCTGGCTACTACTGTTACTCTCGAATCCAGCGGCTGTTCTAGCAAAATGTGCTTCCGATTACTTTGTTCGGTCTCTTCCAGGCCAGCCCGAGGGACCTTTGTTGAAGATGCATGCTGGGTATACATTATCTCTCATACGTGCTTCCCTTTCAATATGACCTGGCGTGTTGTTAATATTTTCGTCTCTCTGTACGTACCAGACACATCGAGATCGATCCTGAGCACAAGGGGAACCTATTCTTTTGGCACTATCAAAATCGCCATATAGCGAATCGCCAGAGAACCGTAATATGGCTAAACGGCGGCCCTGGATGCAGCTCAATGGATGGCGCCTTGATGGAAATTGGCCCTTACAGACTTCAGGATGACCATACCCTGATTTACAACAATGGATCATGGGATGAGTTTGCCAACCTTTTATTCGTGGATCAGCCTGTAGGCACTGGATTCAGTTATGTCAGTACAGACAGCTATGTCCGCGAACTTGGACCCATGGCCGACCAATTTGTCACTTTTCTGGAAAGGTGGTTTAATGTGTTTCCCGAATATGAAAGGGATGATGTATGTGACTTTCTTTCTTTTCTTTTCTTTCTTTCTTTCTTTTTTCCCCCCTAAGACTATGCTGTTTCTTAGTTGTGAACTGATGAAAAATACTTCAGATTTATATTGCCGGTGAATCGTATGCTGGTCAATACATCCCTTATATTGCCGACGCAATCGTCCGACGTAATGAAAAGCTTTCCGTCAACGGCACTTCCTGGAATGTGCAAGGTCTTTTGATCGGGAACGGCTGGATTTCCCCACTTGAGCAATACCGTTCCTATTTGCCATTTTCGTATAAAGAGGGTGTCCTGGACAAGGACTCTGACGGGGCTAAGGCTGCAGAGTCTCAATTATCAAAATGCATGTCTAAACTCAAGGAAGTAGGCAAATTTGGAGTCCACGTGGATGAGTGTGAGCGAGTGTTGGAATTAATTCTGGACACCACAAAAGTTGACGGGAAATGCATTAACATGTATGATGTCAGACTCCAAGATACCCCCGACGCCTGCGGGATGAATTGGCCCCCTGATATCTCTCTCGTTACCTCGTACCTTCGCCGACCAGATGTGGTAAAGGCTTTGAATATCAACGAAGACAAAACCACGGGCTGGCGCGAGTGTTCGCCTGGTGTGGGGAGAAATCTACAGGCTACCGAATCAGTACCATCCGTCCAACTTCTGCCAGGCCTACTCGAACGAGGAATGCCGATAGTGCTGTTTAGTGGTGACAAGGATTTGATTTGTAACCACATAGGTACAGAAGACTTGATACATAACATGACATGGTTGAATGCTACAGGCTTTGAACTTTCTCCAGATGTCTGGGCACCACGTCACAATTGGGAATTTGAGGGAAGTGCAGCTGGCATATACCAACAGGCCAGAAACTTGACATATGTCAAGTTTTACAATGCCAGCCATATGGTCCCATTCGACTTCCCCCGCCGTTCTCGTGATATGCTGGATCGTTTCCTAGGAATTGATATCACCAGCATCGGAGGGGATCCAGCGGACTCCAGGATCGATGGCTTGAAAGGAGCTCCGACGTCTGTAGGTGCTCATCCGAACAGCACCACTGCCGAGGAGAAAGAGAAGGAGAAGATTAAAATTGCTGCTTGGGAAGCCTATTATAAGTCTGGTGAAGTTGCTCTAGTCGTGGTCGCCATTGCTGCGTCCTTATGGGGATTCTTCATTTGGCGATCTAAACGACGGGAGAAAGGATTGGAATACAAGGGTATCTACCCTAATCTTGAGAGCTTTAGCTCCGCTAGCCTTGCGACTTTTAGGGGCAAACGACGTGGAAGAATGGACGTCGAGTCTGCTCCTCGACCTGATGAAGCTGAATTGGAAACTCTGTATAACGCTGCAGAAGGGTCAGATCCTCAGGATGGAGGAGAAGAAAATTTTTCTGACGGCAAAGGAGGTAACGAGAAGGCGCAATCACATGCGGGGATGGGCAACTCAAGATGAATAGACCTATAATAATACGTTACATATCAGTTCATAGATCATTTGTATTTATCTAACCCCAGTATTAACTGGAATTATTTCTATGTGTCTTAATCAATTATAGTATGCTTGCAACCTTGTCACTATTAGACTTTTGCATCACCTATCACCAGTCAATCTAACAAGCATTTTTCAATGTTCCTGTTTGAGAGGGTATTGTCACACTTTGGAAGTCGAAGTTGAGAAGGCACATCTCATTAAGCAGAGTCAAGAGTTATATATACCGTGTCGGTTAATGAGCAATGGGGCATTGTGGCACTTGCACTTTGCTACTGGACTCATCCGTCAATAACTCCGTCTCCGTCTGAGGCTTGAGTTGCGCTTCTCCTTTCGGGTCAATCTGCCTGAACATGGCCATAGGATCCTGCCATACTTCGATTGACTGGATCTGAAGGTTATCATTCACCTTTGCAACAACCAGTCCCTCGATGTCTATCGCACCGTTGTGTGCCTTAACCACCACGTTCTCTCCCTTGCTTCATTTTCGCAGAGATAGTAAGTTTCCAGTTCACATTATTTGAGAAGAAACAATAAGACAACAGTAGGTAGTTGAAGGTCAACTCACTCATTGACCGCAGAGTAGTCGTTGGTCATTCTTCCCCAATGCCGCCACTTGAATACCACTACAGGTGGACCGCTATATACCTCCAACACTTCCCATGCAAATGTTGGCATCATCCTTTTGAAAGTCTTGTGGCTCTTCGCGAAGTCGGAGTGTTTTGGGTCATAATATGCATTAGAAGGGATAATGGCATTGTATGTTCCCACGGAGAGCATATGGTTTGGAGACTGAGCTGGCCCGCCATTCACGGAGAAAGTGTAGCATTCTTGATCAACAGTACGCCAATCAGCAAAATTCGGTTTAAAAGATGCCTCTATTTCCCAGTTCTTTACAAGGTTTTCGACCAAGTTGGGGAGGCTGCCAGCTTCGTGGTTCATTTTTTTCCCTATGGAACCGCGGCGTGTGTTAGATAACTAGGTGTTATTGTTCAAGTAGAAAGCTAAGGGGAGGTATATGATAGATACATGCCTCCCTCGTATTCTTTTCGCGTTTTCGAGTAATCCGGTGCCCGTCCATACCGCCAGCAGATATCATCCTTGAGAACGGCATCGGGGTCCCGAACGTAGTCAGGGAGAGCTGGAGTGTTTTCTTCCGCCACCGGCATTGTCGAGGCTGTAGAAAGGAATGTACCAAGGGGCTATGATGTAGTGATATTGATATAATCAGCCTGCAACAATGGGGGTGCATTCAACCGTCAAGGGGAGATGATACGGCATTATTTATAATTAGTCAAGAGCAGAGAGCAAACTCAGAGGATTCCATTTCACCCGCTTCCCTCGGGTCCTGGGTCCAGCGTAAGGTGGCCATCCAAGGAATAACACACTCAATTATGGACACGGGTAACTGCATCCTTCGCCTATAGCAGCATGGGTGGTGGTAGTGAGTAGTGTTACTGGTGCTGGTGGTAGTAGTGGGGAGTCGAAAGCCACCCCAAGGAAACATGAGACTCGGCTGGGTTGCATATGCCCAGGATATGCCCTGGATATACCCTGGAGATACAGAGAGGCCCGCCTGCTCTGCAGCGCTGAGATAACTACTTACTTACGAGCCCGTTGTGATGCTCGCCCCATATGCAAGTAATGGAACGGAACCCGTGGTCGTCATGGTTCGGGTCCCTGACCATCACACATGAAATAAGCCGCCCGCTAACTCGTTAGTTAGTTAGCTGCCTCGTCGGTTCGCGTGGTGGCTAGCGTTCGTCCCGGAAGGTGTCCAAAGTAGTTTCCGTCCCATGTGTCAGACCCTCAAAGGGGGCGGGCGAGAGATAAGGGAGCGGGAAAACTGCCCGTAAGTAGTTAATTGGTACGGAGTATTCGGGAGTAGGGTCGTTCCATGACTTGCATGCTTGCTAGTTAACTAACTTGTTAGCGACTGGGGCGGGCTGACTTTGCCTTTTCTTTTAAATTACGAGAGCGCGGATTGGCCAGATCAGATCCCAGCTGTTTGAAGCCATGGCTGCGAGTGGGCTCCAGAAAAGAACCACATGTTGATGATGGCTCCGTATGTAATATAATTAAATTAACTGGGCCCCCAAGGGTCCAGAAGCCACGGTCTTTGGAAGCGCGGCTCGGGGACATGGAATTAAGGGTCTGGCTAGGGTCGCTGCGAGGAAGGATTTTTGTCTGTTAACTAACTAGTTGGTTAGCTGCCTACGACGAGCCTGAAGGAGCAAGTTGGAAGGTAACTAGCTAGCTAGTCAGTTACAGTAGATAGGCAAAAAGCCGAGACGGCATCAAGCTGGCAGTTAACGACATTGTGTGACATTAATAATTAACTAACTGCCTAACTAGTTAGGGGTAGTTAACTACGGGTTTTACATATCCAGCTGCTATAGGCAACAGGAACTCAATATATTTGATTTCCCGCTTTTCCTCAGGACTTCTGCTTGGCGGGAGCCGGGCCACCAGTAGTCGGTAGGCCCATAAAGATCTTGAACGAATCGTATCTACATGCGAAACGCCGTTAGCATCAGGATGTCAGGGGGGTCGAGGGAGTGGGGGGGGGGGGGGGGGAAGACGAAGAGCTTACATCATCCATTGAAGGCCAGTCTGGCGTCGATGTCGAGAACAGAGTGCGTTAGCAAATATCCAAACTCCAGTTGGTGCTTGTTTCAAGCAGAGAAGGTACATACCAGGGTTCCGACCATCACAATCCTCACGGGGAGGCCATTCCACAGGCCGACGAAGCCAATCTGCTTATATATGCGTCCTATGGCGGCTCCAAAGCCTTCTCCAGGCAAACGGTTGGCATTGAGCTTGCTCACCATCACATCTGCGGGATGGGATACGGCTGCGCACAGAATGCCAGCCACATATCCTCCAGCAAATGCCACCGCTGTCTGGGCTCCCTTATTATAGTCTGATTTTTGGCCAGGGAGATAGTTGTATATCATCTCAACAACCTTCTCGAATGAGGCAAATTTCATCATGGTGTATGGTATCTGTCGACCCCAGAGTGGATACAATCCTTTATAAAGACTATACTCGACGCATTAGTCGAATTATATTCTTGGGAGCTGTTGGCATTCTAAGTCTTACCCAGCTACGCCCTCTTTCGCGGTAACGTGCGAAATGGCAGTGAATGTCCCTCTTGCAAACGGGGGGATGGTAGTCTGCATTCGCACCTTTACCGCTTCGAACGGACAAAGAGCAACATCAGCAATGAATTCTGCAGATGCACTTGCGGCGAGATAGACTGGTGTCCTCCAGCGGCTAGAAATGTCCTCTCCCAGTAGGTCAGAGTAGTATTTCTTGAAAAATTCATACCCTCCGTATTTGAACGCTCCCTGGGCCTAAAACATTGGGTTAGCGCTTGGAACTGCTGCCACACAATTTGTCCTTTCATGTCAATCAACATACCGAGTATCCAAAGAAAGTTGGACTCCATCCGGTGAAAATCCCTCGAATACCTTCGGCACGGCCAATTTTGCCCCATGCATCGATAATGCCTTTATACATTGTTGGATCCACCTGCAGCCGACATTTTGCTAGATCTAGCGGGGTCACGGCTGCATGAGTTAGTCCCTAGAGTATACATTCTCCGTAAGCACTCATCATGGTGATTGGGGGCTGATGCTTCATAAGAGATATAAAGAGAGGATTAAAGAGAGAAAATAACACAAGGCTCAGTAGTTCGTGGTGTTTAATAGCCTGTGGACAAACATGGACCATAAGGTGTATCAATATCATTCCACATACACAAGCAAGTATGCCTCCTGTTATACAAGACGCATAATACTTTCCAGAGTACAGCTCGATTTTCCCGGCCGGGCCGGATCCTTTGGAGCCCATACTACCAACTTCTTGGGAAGGCCTAGTATTCCTTTTGACATCCTCGGCAACACTCCATGCTGGAAAGGGTGTTCTTTTGAGAGAGCCAGTTACTCCAGGGTATACCCCGCATTTCGAATAGGGATCCTGTACAGAAGCTTCACCACTAAACAAGCTATCTGGGAATGTCGAAGACATCGTATGGCAATTACTAGACTGCTAGCACTGAGCCATGTTGTGGTTAACAGTTGCGTGTAATAAGCATAATAAGCTATGATGACATGTTGAGGTTCAGCTCACCCTGAGCATAGACAATCAAAACACGTATGCGGAGGGAGGTAGCGGATGCGATTGACTCCAGCCTCTATGCACAAAAAGCAGTCAGACGTAACCTTTCTTCTCCAACAATACCAACAATACTACTCATCGAAATATTTACCTTAACTTGTGTAAGGCTAGCCTGGCAATATCGTACAGATCCGGGCCAATCTAAGAGTAAGGTGGTAGTTCTTTTTTGTATTCCTGCTTGTCCGGAAGCGGCGGAAAGCAGTAATATGTATCCCTCCAACACCACCCGAATGCGATGACGTAGTGTGCACAACAGCCCAAGGTGGCTCGGGGATAAGTAATAAGCTTTACCTAAACCCGGGAACATTAAACCTTAAAAACTTACTAATCTACCTAACCTAAAATGATGATCACGTGCATATTGCTTGCTGCCAATTTCAACATCACCAAAGCCGCTGTGCCGCGCTAGGTAGTTAAATTGTCAATCCCTCAAAGCTCACACGCGAATCAAAAAAACAACATTCTGTGGCCGCTCTGGGTTCTCGCACCGTCAGGTCTTCCTTCAGATACAGCTACCGATATTTGGCCTATATTTCTTGGCGTATGCTGGCTTTAGACAAATAGTTATGACTTCCTACGTCTCTGCGAGCCAAGCGTACGAACGCGAGAGGACCCCTACCACTGATACCTATTCTAATACTTCCTCGAGTGGATGGTCCGAGAGATATAGAGGGGTATGTATCGCCCTTGATTTCGGTGGTTTCAATATTATACCCTCGCTCGCAACAACATTCTCTTTACAGACTTCCATGTTCTACTACCCCAACTTGTTGCTGATACTAGCCACAATATTGCAGGCTACTGTGGAAGACTTGGACCCACCGGCTGCGCTCTCAACATCTCCTCATGATCTCATTTCATCTGCACTACTTTCAGCATATGAGCGCGATTACACCCACTTGACTGTGATATCATCAGATTCTCGCTCTCTTCTTGGTTATCTCTCTATTCCGCGGCTTAAGTCACTCTTAAAATCGGGAGTAGTATCCGAATCCGACCCAGTTGAGAAGGCTATGCTGAAATTTCGGCGGAAAGGCCATGTTTACCAAGTTATAACTATGGATACGCCTCTTGAAGAGCTAGAAAGGTTCTTTGACGGGAAGTTACATCCTGCTGAACCTGGTAAGGAGGCACAAAGACAGGATTTTGCAGTAGTTACTGATGCTAGTCGCAAATTTGTTCTCGGAGTTGCCACCAGAGAGGATTTGGAGCAGTTTGTTAAACGGCGGCCTACCTAACTAGGAGCCTAGTCTTAGGTAAATAATTATACCTTTGTCAAGTTATAACGTCCTGATATGCTTGTAGTCTGTAGAAATAGTCTGTACTTCTGACTATCGTACATGTCCACGGTTCGCTTGATTAGGCAGATATATATTAAATGCATAACTGGGAGAGAATTGAAATGCCCTACCGGGCTTGCTTCAGCCTCCTCGTGGATTCAGCCGCAAGTAAGGCGCTTAATGCGCCTATGAATAAACGTAATCTGGAGGCGTTGGGGTTGCCAGTATTTACGTCTATAGTGTTTGGTGAAAACTGGTCTTTCACTGAAGCAGCCTGCGTCACCCGTGGGACTTCGAGTTTGGGCTCGAATGCTCTAAAGATTACCCAGCTAATGAGCATGCTAAATAACTGGGGAAGGGTGGTATATACGTTTAGGATCCCAAGATATATTCCAGCCAATTCCCCAGTTGACATATTGGCATTTGGCACTTCACCACCCTGATCTTCACTATCACTGCCATCTTCGCCGTGATTTAACATCAACACGCCGTCATCTAGTTCTATATCTGAGGGAGCATGGTCTCTGGGTGAAGAGCTGTAGGAACCTTGCCGACGAGAGTAAGTTGCTGATGTTATCATGGTAACGGTCGGGTCCCTCGATATCACTGGGATGCAAAGACGATTAACTTCTTCGCCAATGAATGCAAATGGCGCCCAACATGTAATCGTCCAGGGAATGCCGCAAAGTGCCACTAAAAACGTTGCAAATCCAGTTGATCCCGTTAGCGGGGATAATACCATTGTACCTGCGAATACAATGTGTGAAATCATCCAAACAGTTCCAAGATCCGGATACGAGAGGTGTATTCTCTTAAAATTTCGTCCGATAGCAAACGTGATTGTAGGGCTGAAAGAGCTTTTCAGACTCTCCGTGGAGCAAACCAAAGGCAACAGAACGGATGCGAACAAGGCCACCAAAGAAAAAATCAAAAGGGCTAAGCTACCCAACCGGCTAAAGTCGGTCAGTACATCTTGTGATCTTGGGATATCCGATTTAGAAGCCTCTTGATACAATGTAATTTCTCCAATCCAAATCGAGCAATGGAACAGGAATGGAAACCACCCTTACAATTTGAATTAGCGCACACAGCAGAATATTTCCAAGATTAACTTGAAGAAACCTTACCAATCCATGCCCAAAACTGAGTCCAACATATTGCTTTAATGCGAGGTGGCAGTGAAATAAATGTTTGGAATAAGCGGTAGAGTATGTTTGCTGCTGTAAGTTGACTTGTACCGCCTCTATTAATACGGTCATCAGTTACTTGCTTCAAGAAAGGAAGGTTCATTGCCATATGAAGCATACCTAGCTGTAATGAGCACTCTCTCCCTTACGGCATATGCAGTTATGAGGGTGGAAACTAGTAGCAGCGCCGAGGCCATTGCCATAATCTGCTTGAACTGGGTATCTCTCAAATAAGGTCCAAAGATTCTTGGAGTTTCAATTACTCCGATGATATTGCCAGTTAGGTGACCAGCAGCCATCATCCTGCTGGCTTTTATAATTAGAAACGGCATGAGAACTATGGGAGAGGACGGACTTACCCCAAGCGAAGCCGAGCTGCTGCTGTGGGATGGGCAAGGTATCAATAATCAAGCTACGGCAACAGTTACACACTGAGTAATAATTAGAAGCTGGTAAGTTACCAAAGAGTTACGGAGGGGTGGTAAACACATGCCAGCATTAACTGAAAAATCAACTACCAGTATACCGAAAACAGCCACAGCAATTATAAAGTTGTGTTTCTAGAAATGAGTCAGTATGAATATGTAATGGGGTGCCAATCAGCTGGGGAGCTTAACGGATTTCTCATCTGCGATAAAGAGTCCAGCAAGTTCTGTCGACCAACCGAGTAAAAGGAAGCATATACTTGCAACGGCTGACCCCCAAACAATGAAAGGTCGCCGTCGTCCCCATTTGCATTTTGAATGGTCTGAAAGCGCCCCAATTAATGGTTGCATCAATCCTAATGAAGGACTTGCCATCCATACCAGAGAGACACTTGATCTCGCGACTCCGAGCTTTAAAAGATATGGAGTGAAATCTGCCCTCCCAAACAATTCAGCCAATAGTTAGAGTGATTTGGAAATAGTGAACAAAGGGCTTAAATTACATGTCATCTTAATGCTCCACGTAAACCTAGAAAGCGACCGAGGTGTAAAAACAGAGGGGTCAGCCAGTGTACGAAGGACAGATTGAATTGGTGATATTTAACAGAGCTCCACTTTCTAGAGGAGTGTAAATCTCTGCAATATGGGGATATTACCAGTGGAAGAGGATTCAACAGGGTAACATACTGCAATCCAGCCAGACCAGCAGTTAGCATTGCCATACGAACTGCTTCAGTTGTGCCCTTGACTGAGGGACTGCCTATCCATGACGCCGCACGTCCCATTTTATCTTCAGCTGTGCCAAACTAGTCAGGGAGGCCTGAGATTGACAAGAACAAAAGAGACATAAGATCCAGTAACCCCCTGGTTACTTTGCTAATTTATTATCATTGTCGGGGCAGGCAGGTTAAATAAAAAGGGGAGTTTCTAGTGAAGAACTTAGCTTACTAACTAACTAGTTAACTTAGTTGTTGATTACATAATAACTAACGGTTTTCTTGAACATATGGGGGATCAGATGTAGAATTACCATTAGATATATGGTCTAACAAAGTCAGGTATATTCACAACAATGACGCAGAAACTAGGAGTCGAGGATATTAATATATATACAAATATAAATGAAAATATAAACAGAAGGGTACATTATCATCGCTGTCTGAATGGAAAATGCTGAATATCCGTAGCAAAATGTCTATACACGTCAAAAAAAAAAACCCCAAAAAAAAGGTACCGCCAACAAATGCATATTTACAATTTAAAACCAAATAAGCAGAAAGCAACGTCATCAGGGGTGTCATGGAAACAGTGCATGGCCTGGTTCTGCTCCCATTACTGGGGCTTTCTTGACTCACTGCCAGGCCATTCTGTCTGCCTCTCTTCAGGTTTCTTGGCAGCAGCAATGCGCGCCAGTCGAGCGCGCTCCTGCTCCTCGAGTCCCGTTTTGGTCACTTCATGATTCTGGTTTAAAGCCTTTTCCCGGACAAAGAAGCTGAAAATGCACCCAATTGCACTAAGAGCGGTGTAGAACAACCAAGCCCGCTTGAGTGCAGTGGTATATTCATTCAGCACGATATCCTTCTGAGACTGAGTCAGCTGATGGATTAAATCAATATTCGCTCCAGCAATGCTCCCAAGGAATTTAGGAGCCAATTCTGGGCCCAAAACCTCAGTAAGATACGCTTCTTTGCCATTGATGATGTTCTGGTACACCACACTACCAAGGACAATGGACGACGATGTAGCAAGCTGGCGCATGAAACCAAACGTCGAGGTGGCTCCAGAAACATCTCCGGGCGGCATGTTGTTCTGGATGGCAATGAGAGGGGCCTGAAAGTTGGGACCAATACCAATGCCGGAGATAAGCTGGTATATAATAAGTCGAGGCCAGGACGTGTATGACTGGAAATCCAAAAATAGACCATATCCCAAAGTCGTTATCAACATGCTGATACGCATAATCCAGACATATTTGCCCGTGTTTCGGATGAACATCCCGGTCAGCATGGCAACAACTGAGAGCCCCATTACCTGTGGTAAGATATAGACTCCACTCAGTGTTGGGCCGACACCGAGCACAATCTGGAAGTAAATGGGGAGGAAGTATGCACCGGAGATGAACAAAGACGCATGGACCCAGTTAACTCCCAAGATAAGGATGTTGTTTATACCATCGAAAACAGCAGGGGGCATGATTGGGTATTTCGCGTAATACCTCTCAACCACGCCGAATATTCCCAAAATAACAATACCACCGATAATTAGTCCGATGGTTGTCGGAGAATTCCATGGGAAGCTGACACCACCAAACTCCAGGCCGAAGAGTAACATGACTGTTCCTCCAACAATAGTGACGGTTCCAAGCCAGTCAATAACACGCAGTCCGGCGAGGAGAGGTGTTTTTGGAGACTCTATTTTCAGAAAAAAGAAGAGAATCACGAAACATATGCCGCCAACAGGTACTAATAATCCAAGTGGGTGTGTTAGTATATTGTTCAAATAGAGGCATATGCCCATACACTTTTTATCACTTGGGTAATCTGGTGACTATAACACTTACAGTTGATATAGAAACACCAGCGCCAGGAAGTATTTTGAGTTAGTAGTCCACCTATCACTGGTCCAAGTGCCCCAGCAACAGCCCATGTAGCTCCGAAGAGAGCATAGTAAACAGGACGCTCTCTATAAGTTGCATCGTGTTAGTAAAAATCTATGCTTGTGACTGTCGGAGCCAGGGGAACATATACCTCGCGCTAAACAGATCACTAACACAGATTTGTCCTAAAATGATCAAGCCACCTCCTCCAATTCCCTGAATACCTCTTCCGACTAGGAAAATGGCCAGTCCTGGTGCAATTCCGCAGAGTAAACTTCCAACAAGAAATAGGACATTGGCCGCTAGGATGAGGACTTTGCGACCCCAGATGTCACTAAGCTTTCCCCAAAGAGGGACGCATGAGGCGTTGGCTAAAAGGTAAGATGAGGCCATCCATGTGTAGCCGCTCTCATTGGCATTAAACACCTTTGAAATTGTAGGAAGAGAGGTAGAGATAATTGTCTGGAGAGAGCATTAGAAAACTTATTGAGTTCATGGATGGGAGAAACCATGGATAAACTAACCATATCGAGGGCAGCAAGAAACAAGGCCAGCTATATCAATGCATCAAGGCTAAGTTAGAAATAATCCAATTTGCACCTACTTTCCTTAATCCTTTTCTCTTGGGAGTCTTACACATAAAGCTGTCATGATGATGACGATCTCCTGCCTGCTCATCTTGCTTGGAGGGGCTTCAGGTGGAGGCTCTGCCTTTTCTGCATCGCCATTCTCGTACGGGGGAGGGACAAT